GCTGTGTCCCGCGTGCTGGGTGGTGCTGGGTGCTCTGTGCCGGGTACTGGGTGCTGTGTCCCGCGTGCTGGGTGGTGCTGGGTGCTCTGTGCCGGATACTGGCTGCTGTGTGCTGCGTGCTGGATGCGTGCTGGGTGCATTCCCAGCAGCAGGAGCCGAAGGGAACAGCAGGTTCACACTGGCCATTGACCTTTGGTTGGAGTCGGGAGCGCTGCCCGGGCCTGACCCAGGCTGCCAGCCAGTGCAGTTGTTTAACCCCTCTGGCACTGGATCCCCTGCCCAGGGACTCTCAGGACCACCAGTCCTAATCTTCCACCTTCCCTGAGCTGTGCTCCCCACCAACAGACCTCTCAATATGCAGCCCACCAGGTGCTGTGGTGCCCATCTCTATTGTGGTGCCAGGGGTGCAGTACCCCACTATGTGAAAAGCCACTGCCACTCTCCAGCTCAGTGCCCTGACCCCCAGCAGTCACTGGACATCGGGAGCAGATGATGGGGTGCCTTCCATCTCCAGGAACACCCACTGGGCCTGGGGTCTCATCTTCATCATCTCGTTCCCTCTTGTCCTTCCAGGACTGTCACGGGACACAGTGTTGGGCCACCTGGGAGCCAACATCACATTGACCTGTCAGGACGAGGTGCCTGCAAACACCACGGTGTTGTGGCAGGTGGAGGAGCAGGGGGCAGCAGGGGTGTGGGGCCGGCAGCTGGCGGAGGGTAACACGCTGCTCCTGCGGCGGCTGCGCTACGAGGACTCCGGGCACTACAGCTGCTCTGTGGGGAGCCGCCTGCTGCGCTCCCTGCGGCTGCTGGTGGCAGGTGGGTCCACGCTGGGGTGGGAATGTCCCTGGCAGCGTTGCCTGTGATGGCCCCTGTCCCAGAGCACCTCCCTGCCTTGCAGAGCCCCCTGAAACTCCCCAGGTCTCCTGCTACCGGCGGAGCCACGATAAGGATGTCCTGTGTGAGTGGCCACAGCAGGAGAAGCCATCCCCAGGGACACGGGCGATACTCTGGGTGAAGCAGAGGTGAGTGCTGTCACTGCATCCACCATGGGCTGGGACCCCAGTAGGACAGAACATGTCCCCCTCCAAGGACCCTTTCCCTGGTGCCATCTGGGATCCCATTGCTCAGGATGCTTGCCTCCCTCCTTGCTTCCCTCCCTTTTTTCCCTAGTAGCTACTGGTAGCTGGGAGTCCACAGCATGTGATGTGTTTCTTCCCCATGGCTCCATTTCCCATTGCTTCCTGGGACCCCATGGCACAGAATGTATCACTTCCCACAGATCCTTTCCCTAACACTGCCAGGGACCCCACAGCATAGGACATGTCCCCCACAGCTGCCCTGTGCCTAGAGTATGCTGCAGCCCCCCCTGAGCTGTTACCTCACAGGTTTGTGGCTGAGAATGCCACAGAGCAGCGGTGCCGCTACTTCTCCAAGGCACGAAAGTTCGTTTGCCGGGTGAAGGTGCCACCTGGCACTGATGACACCAAACACCTCGTGGTGTCAACGTGCGTCAGCAACAGTGCCGGTGGCTCGGCTGGCAAAGACAAGATCATCACCCTCAGCAGTGTCCGTGAGTGCTGCCCCTGTTGCTGGGAGCTGGGGTGGCTGAGGGTGCAGTGCGAGGCCCTGAGCCCCCCTTTCCCAGCAGTGAAGCCAGACCCCCCAGTCAATGTGACAGTGCAGGCACTGGAGAAGGCGCCGCAGCGGCTGCAGGTGAACTGGTCCTACCCCTCCTCCTGGGACCCCCGTTTCTACTGGCTCCGCTTCCAGGTCCGCTACCGCCCTGAACCTGCACCAGCCTTCGTGGAGGTGAGACCCTGCTTGCTGGCATGTTGCTTGTCCCTGGCCAGACTATCTCCTGTGTCACACAGCCCTGTGTCCCCTCCAGGTGGATCAGGTGACAACAACTTGGCTCGACATTCGTGACGCATGGCGTGGGACGAGGCACGTGGTGCAGGTGAGGGCGAAGGATGAGTTCGGCCATGGTGCATGGAGCGAGTGGAGCCAGGAAGCTGTGGGTACCCCCTGGACAGGTAGGAGGCAATCATGGGGCCCTGAGACTGGGGGGTCACCATGGGGTCTCCCAGTCTCATACTCCCCACTCACTGTGCAGACCCTTGGGACTTCACCTCTGAAATGGAGCCTTTCAGCTCACAGGTAACAATGTTCTTGGCCCTGGGAAGCATCTCACACACCTGAATGGATCTCCATGTGGGACAAGGGGACACCAGGGCATGAGGGCTGACCTGTCCCATTGTGCCCCTCCACCTTTTGCAGGTCCCCATGGAAGATGGCTCCTATGGGGTGACAGTGTTCCCCAAGCTCTTCAGGGAGGATGATACTAATGGTGCTGGTGGTGAGGAAGGGTTCCTGGACTGGGGGTGGGGGGCAGGACACCCAGGTCCCTTATCCTCACAATGAGCCCATCCATTCTCTTTGTGTCAGGGGCTGTCATGGAATCCAGCACCCATCCTGTGGCATCCCCCTATGCCTTCCTGGTCACTGGGGGGAGTCTGCTCCTTGGCATTGCCCTGTTTGTTGGCATTGTGGTGAGGTGAGTGCCGGGGGGCTGATCCAGGGGGCTCTGTCTGCCTCCCCCCACCCCCGACCTGGATCCCCTCTTCTCCCCTGCAGGTACAGGCAGACATGGTGGACAAGTGGGCAGGAGACAACCAAGCCAGAGGGCGAGGGGCAGCATATGCTGGTCCCCCTAGGCCTCCCCGTGCCCACATTCAGTGATACCCCTCTGCTCTCACACCCTGCCCCCTCAGCCCCTGGAATGCTCCACATGACTCACGCAGACTTTTCCTCCTCAGGGCAGTAGTCAGGGGCTGAATATGGTAGGTGCTTGGGAGTTGGATGGGGGGTGTCCCAGGGCTGCAGTGTGGCTCTGGGAGCAGTTCCCCCCCATTATCCGGTGCTTCTGTGGCTGGGACAAGCCTCTGAGGAGGGGAATCAATGCCACCTCCCATGGAGAAGCAGCTAGGAAAGGCCCCACACTGAGTCCTGGGGGGCACCTTCCAGGAGCATGGCCAAGCTGGGGTGGCCAGGAGTGACAGCGCTGGAAGCACGGCTGCACCAGAGCACGGGAACTCGCCCGGGACCGGGTTTGGGGGTCCCACAGGGAAGGGCCTGGTTCCTACAGTGCCATGGGGGTCGGGGAGGGAGGGACTGGCTGGATCAGCTCCCCATACCTCTGCTCCAGCCCCGTCAGGGCTCCTTTTCAAAGCACATGTTGGGTAAACAAGACAATGTGGCTCAAATAAATGCTTTGGATTTATAACTGGATTGGGTGCTGGGAGCAGGGTAGCAGAGGGGTTGCTGTAGCCCACCCTGAGAGTGGCTCCAGTGGGGTTGCAGCCTCACTTCATTCACCCCCTGCCTTGCTGTGCCCTGTAACTATGCCCCCCCCCATAAACCCTATTCTGTGTTCCCTATTTCACTGGTGCCTCCCACGCTGTAACCCCTATGCTGTGCACACCTTCATGCCACAAACCCCCTGCCCTGCATCCCCAGGCCATGCCTTCTCTGTCATGCACTGCCCACCCCGTGCTGGGTTGTGCAACACACCAGGGAGCTGCAGCTGCACCCAGACAGGAAACCACAAGACATGGGGAGAGGGTGCTCAAGCACCCATGGGACAGTGTTCTGCTTCCCTTCTGCTGGCCTCCCGCTATAAAAAGCCTGGCAGGATGCAGATGTGCTGTTGGGAGAGCCCCAGAATCTCTGGCCCCCAAAACTGCGGTGACTCCTGCCACCACAAGGCGCATCCCAGACCCGCCCCCAGGACCACTGCTTCCTCTCAGCCAAGAAGTTTATTTTACTAGATCATTACAGGTCCCAGTCTCACTGTGTGCTCCCACCTCGTGCACGTGGGCAGCCCCGTGACAAGTAGGTTCTGGCACGAGGTGGTTGGGATTTGTCCCAGCAAAAGGGGGACAGCCCTGCTGGAGTCCAGGAGTGGGGTCCCTTCAGGACTGGAGACATGACAAATGCCCCTCGCTGTGGCCGCACCGTGTCTCACGCCACAGGGGTGGGGGTCGCAGAGCACTCGGGGCGGTGTCAGCAGACGCTAATGCAGCTTGCAGTGCACGGGGTGCAGCAGGGCCATGTGCTCAGCCCCCTTGAAGGGCAGCTTCTCAGTGGAGTAGTAGTGCACGACTTCAGGGATGCTGGCGAAGACGCCGCTGGCCTGGCTGAGCGTGTACTTGTTGTCCTTGGTCTGGGCCACGATGATGTGGACGCAGCCCTGGCTGGTCCTGGGCGACCAGCAGGCATCAGTGTTGCCGCCAGCCCCCCCGGCGCCCGCCTGCCCCGCGGCCGTATCCACCCCTGTTTGTTCCCGTCCCGCTCTGATTGTTTCGGCTCCAGGGGCTGCACTTCCTCAGGAAGGAAACGCCACTGGCGCTCCCGACAATGTGCCGGGGAGGGGGACACGCCGTACCCCCCTTCCGCCCCAGCTCCACACCAGCATGCCTGGGGTCCCCCCCCGTGGATCAGGGGGTGCCGTCCCTCGGGATCTGGGTGCTTCCTCCCCATCAGGGCTTTGACATGAACAGCCAGGGGGAACTCCCGCTGCAGCATCACCTCAGGGTGGGGATTCGCCCTATCGCCCCAGGGTGGGAACCCCCGGGGCCGAGACCCCCCCGTTCTGTGGCCACCCCGACACTCACTTGAGCGCGATGGAGTACTTGCCGCTGCCCGTCTCGCTGGTGCGCACCAGGTAGCCGGCCTCCCGGCACGTCTGCAGCCGGCTCTCCGCCTCGGCCCGCGTGATGGCCCCGTGGTACCAACTGCGGGGGGACACAGGGAGGGGACGCTGAGCCGTGCAGAGCATTAGGCACTCCACCCCTCCTCGCCCCGTTTCCCACACGTGGATCGGCCTCGCAACTCACGGCTGTTTCTCCAGTGCTAGGGCAGGGTCCACCCGCTCCCCCTCGCTGTGCTCGGTGCCCGCCGGCTTCAGCATCTTGGGGGTCCAGCTCTTCTGGCGTAGGTGCTGCCGCAGTGTTTCCTCCTTAGGACGCTCCGAGCCCTCAAACTGGACTGGGAGGGAAAAGATGTGAGCCCCCAAAGCCCCACCTCCACTTTCAATCCCCATCCCGAGCTCCATCCCTTGTCCCCATCCCCAGCACTTTCCGCATTCCCAGTCCTAACCCCTTCTCCAACCACGTTCCTGTCCCCATCTGGTCCAACACCCCACCATGAAAAGGGACATCTTCAGTTACATCAGGTTGTTCAGAGCCCCATCCAACTTGACCAGGCAGGCATCACCTCTCTGGGCAACCTGTGCCAGTGCCTCGCCACCCTCAGCCCAAGAAAATTATTGTATCTAAAGTGCCCCTTACAGTTAAAAACCATTGCATCTTGTCTTCTTGTGACAAGCCCTGCTAGAAAGTCTGTCGCCGTCCCTGTCCCCATTCCATGCCTGTGCCTTCCCCCTCTCCATCCTCATTCCCATCCTGTCCCGGCCCCCTACCTGACAGTGCTTTGACAATCTGCTCCTTCTTCCATTCCCATGGCTGCTCATATTCCCCCGCTGGGCGCTCGTCGTTCTCAGGCAGGCGCCCATCACCAGCCCTCACCCTGCGCTCTGGGGTCCCCCCGGCCACCCCCTCCCCAGGCTCATAAGGGGTGTCATAGAGCTGTGGCCCCTTCCCTGACACCTCCTTGCCCCCTGGCCGTTTGGCAAGATCCAATTTGGCAGCCCCCTCCCCAGGCTCTCCAGGACCGTCCAGCAGCAGGATGGCTTTGACCAGGGGGTCCTTGGAGCCACGACGACGAATTTCTGTGGGGAAGAGGGATGATGGGTCAGGGATGGGTTTGTGTGCCCCTTGAGAACCCCCCCATTCCCACTACCAGCCCTCAGTGAGGGATGTGTGCTGGGGACCCTGTGCCGGCAACGCCCCATTGGGAACCAGCTTGGGAGGAGCTGGAGCAGGAAGGGGCCCATCCTCATGGCGCCTGTTCTGCTGTCCAGCCCCGAGGCTGCTGGCGCCACAGGCACAGACCCATGGCAGTGGGGCCAGCTGGGCTCCATGGCAGCAGGATGCTACACCCCAAACTGGAGCTCAGCTGTGCGGGAGGCCGCCCCAGGGGCTCACCCCTCCCAGCCCCCTGTTTCTCCCCACGGCGCCAGTCTTTGCCGAACAGCCTGGGCTGCCCCGCACGGAAAAAAAACATCAGCAGCAAATCTTTTATTTCCAGCTTCCGGCCCAGTCAGTTCCTGTTGTTGTGGCCAGCTGGACAGTCGCCACGCCAGCCGGGGTGTCGCTGGCTGGGGGGCACGGCCATTGGGAACTCTTGGGAGGTGGAACCCTGGGATGACTGGGGGGCACCGAGGGCTTTGCACTGGCCACATGTGCCCGTTCGATTTTGGCAGCAGGTCATGGCAACAGTTGAGGGGCCGGCCAGCACGGGTCAGTGTCCGGCCTTGCTCCCACTCCTTATCTGGCCCTGCGCAGCCGCAGGAAGCGGCGAGCAGCTTTCCTGTTCCCGGAGCCTCCTGCACCGGGTGGCTCCAAGGGCAGCCCAAGACTCCTGGCTGGGGAGCGGCGCCAGCTGTGCTGCTGTGGCATGGCTCAAAATGGCACGTACCTGTGATCATCTGCTGGGCATCATAGGGCTCCATGTACCCATCATTCTCCCCCAGGCGCTCAGCGTCCCGCTGCCCCTTGGTCCGTTTGGCATCGTAAGGGTCTGCGTAATCCTCCAGGATGATGACCTGAGCAGAGAATAGGCATTGCTGGCTTCAGAGGGCTGCAGGAGTCCCAGGAGGGGTGGCTAGTGGAGAGATTCCACTAGCACAGGGCCAGGCAGGGAACAGGCACACTGGAACCCCCAGGGAAGGATGATGACTTATCTGGGGTAAATGGAGCCATGTCACAACCCCAGAGGAGGCACCCCCTAGCACCTTTGGGTGGGGGCAGTCCAGACCGTTCCTATGTACCTCAGTGGTGGTAAGGAGCCTGGGGGGAGCTCTGGGACCCTTTTGGGTGACAGCAAACCCCCTGCCTGGCTCCCAGTTCTCCCAAGGCTGTGCAGGGGTGAAAGACTAGCTTTCCAGAAAAGCTTAAAAACAGCCTTTGTTTAACCAGCAGCTGAGCTCTGGGGTCAGACTGGTATGATGAAGATGCCTGGTGACCCCCCACCCCCACATGGGAGATGAAGGGCAGTTGGGATGAAGGCAGCTTTGAAGGAATTTAAAGGCAGTGGAGCCGGGCAGGATAAAAGGATGAAGTCAGCCAGGCTAATGAGTTGGAGATGAAATTAGTTAAAGCTGCCAGTGCTTCACGCTCCCCACATCTCCGCCTCTGCCCCCGGCTCCCAGTCCCTGCCTTACCGTCTCTGTCTTGGGGGGCTTCCCCTTGTCCTGCTCGGGGGCAGGCAGGCCGCCAGGCAGGGGTCCAGGGTGCCCCTTCCCATTCTTCTCAGAAGCATCCACCTTGATGAGGCGGTTGATGTAGGTTTTGGAGGGTCCCTCTGCTGTGCCTCCCTCCACTCTGGAATTCTTCCGCATCTTCCCGGTGGCGGCCTGGAGCAGACCCTGCAGGTTGTCCCGAGACAGCCGGCTGCCCCCTTCCTTGCCACCCCCAGCCGCCCGGTAGCCCCCCAGATCAGCAGTTGAATTCTTGCGGCTCTTGCCAAGGCTCCCGCTTCCCGGCCGAGCCCTCTCTGAAACCGTCTTCAGGTTGGATGGGAACTCCTTGAACCACTTGGCCGCCATGGAGCTGGGGAGACGCAGGGTGCCGCAGCCCCCCCGGGGGTCCCCGACACCCCAGGGCTGCCCCGCCGGCTCAGGGCCGACTCAGCCGGGGGGCCCTGGGCAGCCGGGATGCCCCCAGCCCTGGAACCGGGATCCGCTGCGGACTGGGGCCAGCCCGGGAGCGGGGATGCGGGCCGGGGGACCGGGGCCTTCGTGAGGGGCTCCAGGCGTCCTTCGCCCCGGCGGGGACAGCCGGTGGGTCCCCAGGGGTGCCGGCTCCTGGGGCCCGGGGAGGGAACCGCGTGCCCTCGGAGCTCCCTTGCCCCGGGGAAGGGTCTCGGCGGGGGCCGGGGTATCTGCTCCAGCAATGGGTCTCGCCGGGCGGTCTCGCCGGGTGTCAGAGGAGTCCGGCCGGGGCAGTCCCGGGGAGGTTCCAGGGGTCCGCTGCCCCTGGGGACGGGGCCCAGGGGGATCTCTCCGAGCTCCGGAGGGCCCGGCCGGGGACGGGCAGCCGGGGGGTCCCGTCGCGGCTCCTCGGCGGGGCCCGTCTCCGGGGGCGCAGGGGCTTCGGCGAGGGGTCAGGCTGGCCCGGGGGGCCCCATGCAGCGGCGACGGGATGGGCCGGGGCCGGGGCCGGGCCGGGCCGGGGCCGGAGGGGCCGGAGGGGGTGGCAGGGCCGGCGCTCCCCGCCCAGATCCGGAGGGGGCGGCCCCGGGGAGCGGCGCGGCACCAGCCGGACAGGCAGAGAGCCGTGGGGAGCCGTGGGAAGAGATGGGAGCTTCGGTGGGGTCCCGCCCCGGTGCGGGTGAGACACCTCGTGACCCTGCCTGGATGATGGATCCTGCACATGGATCCCGCGAACGGACTGTACGGGTGGATCTCCGGGCAGAGACTCCAAGGACAGCACGGTATATCTCCTCCACAGACCCTGGGCATGGACTGTGTGCTCCCCATGTGTGGAGACTCTGCACAACCCCGCCATCCTCCAGTGCACAGCCAGCTGTACAAGGACCCCTGTGTACAGCCTGACAGGGCACTTTGTGCAGCCAGTGCCCTCTCTGCCCTCTCTTCACACCGCACCAGCCAAGTTCTACGTCTGGCCGTGCTGTCACCTTGCCAGAAAAGCGCGGCAGAGCCCAGTGGTTTGTCTTCCTATCGGGCCGCAGTGCCGGGGGGCCTTTACAACAGCAATCCCTCCCCCTTTGCAACTCCACGGGAAGAGGATAGGGTTTTGTGGCAAAATTGCTCCCATAGCCCCCAGGATGGGAGTTTGTGGCAAAATACGGGCTCCTCTTCTGTACAAGGGGGAGGTGCTGGGTGCTGGCAGCGCCATGGGAAGTGATGGCAATTACCTTGCTGGTGCTGCTGGGCAGGATGTGCCTTGCGGTGGTGCGATGCCACTGGCAGGCTGGTGCCCGAACTGCCAGTGGAATCTCATCTGGCTTTAGCTTTGCCTTTTTGTGGCCTAGGAAAACTCTCTTTCCCCACCAGTAAACTCAGATGCCGGCTCCTTTTCGTTCCTTCAGAAGGCAGATTTCAGTCCCCTTCAATTTTTATGGGGCCTCAATAGGACAGGCATGCAGGCAGCACTGTCTCGGTCGCTTTGTGCTGTTCACTTCAATGTGCCACATGTCTCCTTCAGGAAGTCTTCCCTCATTCTTGTTCTCTGCCAGCTCCCACAGGGGAAGGCTTCGGGAGTGCCTTCAGCAGTGGTGACAGATGGCACTGCACACCTCCTTCCCTGAGCCAGCCTGGTGGCAACGAAGGCCACGCTCGGCTCAGAGTGGGATGGGTCCTCACTGGGCAGGTGTGAACAGACAGCACTGGCAGATGGCCTGCTAGACACCTGCTCCTGCTGCACTTTCAGCCTCGACACTTGTCAGGTCAGCATCCTGGTGACAGTGTCCTGCAGGGCCCTCTTCAGTTCTGCCCATCCCAGCCTGTAAAGCTGCCATGACTTGGGAGTGTGTGCCATAAGCTCTCCCAACCAACTTGGCATACCCAACCCCAACCCAACCCCATGGCTGGGCTCAGCAGAGCAGCTCCAACTTTCTTTCAGCAAAGAGAAAGCCCCACAAGTGTTTTAAATCTTAAGCTGATTTAAGCCACTACCTAGCAGGTTCCTGAGCTAAAGGTGGGAGCTGAGTGCAGCTACCTCTGCTCCCCCAGCCCCAGCTACCATGAATATGGTTGGAGAGAACCCAGAACTCCAAGACGTGCTGGTCTGGACTGGAGGACACAGGGCAGAGTGCTCAGCTTCACAAATCCTCTGGTCCTTCAGCAAAGCACTTAAAAATAGTCCCCAAACTGAGGCCAGAGCCACTCCTGCCGTCAGTAATCCCTCTCCTTACAGCATCTTTTTATTCCAAGGCTCTGAGCAGGACAGGGAAGCAGCTGCTGAAGTAGATAATGGAGTTCTGAGGCTCTTTGATTTTCTAATGACTTTTATTCAAACACAGTGAATTAATACGCATGGTTCCATCTTTGACACTAGTGCGTCAGTTCTGTCCTCCAGACGAGGACATGGCCCAAGTTAGAGGAGCTCCAACAGCCAGATCTCCTTCCAGCAGACTCAAAACAGGGCCGTGGGGATTCAAGACGACAGGCCACAACTGCAGCAACCCCGGCCATAGAGGGCTGGAGTACAAAGGCGAGCAGGAACAATAGCTTAAGGAAAGTAAAATAAAACCCCATAGAACAGGGTGTTCACTGATGGAATAGGTTCTGGCCAGGGATGGGAAGCAGTGGTAGGACAGAGCTCCACTCCCTGCAGCAGCTTGCAGCCACAGCCCAGCAGGGATGGGGACAAGGGGCTCAGCCTCCATGTGTGGCTAGTGGGGAGAAACAGGACAAAGCTCAGGCCTCAGCTCATCTTAACTGCTTGGCAAGAGGACAGGGAGAAGTGTGATACAAACACAAACCCTTCCTCTGCTGCAGAGGAGAGCACAGCCTCACAGATCTCTGTGCTTCAAGTTGTAAGTCTGCAGTTTATAGAGAAAAGCTGGGTTTGCCTAGGAAAGATGGGGCAGAAACTCTGCTCCCTTAATGCCAAAAAAGAAAAGGGCTTTTCTTCTTCCGAGGCAATTGTGCCAAGTCTTCCTGCAGGGCTTGGGCCCACCATAGCTCCATCGACCGCCCCACCCTGGGACTAGGGCTGCAGCAGGGTTTGCAGGGCACAACCCACCCAGCAGGAGCTTGGGAAAAATTAGTTAGACCAGCATTCTCAAATTAACAAACTGTAATTTTTCTCCAAAGATACATTTTCCATACACATCCATCATACACCGTAACAAAAAAAAGCAGTGTACATGAAATAAGAAAATAAATTAAATCCATAGCATAGGTAAGGAGGATGCTCTAGACTGGAGTAGAGTCAAAAGTTTCCAGCAATACAAGAGGCTCAAGAGTTTGTTTTAACAAGAATGCCTGCTAGCATGGGCCCAGCAAGTGTTCTGGGTCAGTCCAACTCCTTAAACAGTTATTTAGAGTTTTGAACAGCCAGTATTGTCCTGCAATAGGCAGAGCTATTACATCCTGGGAGAAAGCCAAGAGGCATCACTAAGATCCAAGTAGAGCATCCAGAAGATATTCAGATTGGTCCTGCAGCATCCACACTAGCCATCCTCCTTGGGTGGTGTATACCAGCCTGAAATGAGGAGAGATCTGTGAGGGAGGAAACTGCATTGGCAACAAGAATCTGCACCTGGAAAACCTGCTGAAAGCAGCCAAGTCCTACTTCCAAAGGGCCACGTATCCCCAACTACTGGGAGGCTTTCCCTTTGGCTTACTTCCCAACACCACACAGGCAAGCACAGAATAATTTAGGCTGGAAAAGATGTCTCAGATCATCACGTCCAAGCAATCAGTGAGGTGCTGCCTCTAGTTAGAGCCACTGGAGCCCAGCACTGGGCAGCAGAGAGCACAGCAGCACTCTGCAGCTGCCACTGCTGCTGTCACCTCCACACTTGAGACAGGATAAAACTCCAATGGCTTGTCTGGGGAGCCCAAACAAGCAAGAGAAAACACAGGCCCTCTCCCTCAGCCCTTACCATTTTTCTCATGGATCTGAACCAGGGATTTGTAGGACTGCTGTGCTCTTGTCAGGCTGTACTGGTTCTGCAAGGGAAAGCAAGGAGACCATCAGTCCAGCAGGAACCTTGGGGAAGCCATCCCACCTTTCCTGTGCAGCCAGAGCTGGCTGTGCCCCCTTCAGCCACCCCCCATTCTCCTACACTGTCCAGGCCCTACCTTGTTGGCTCCAAATTGTACTCGTGCTTTCCCTTTCACCAGCGTTGCACTGATCTGCATGATCACCGACTCGATGGAGTAGGCACTACTCCAGCCCTGGGGGATGAAACACATGGTAAGGCCAGACCCACCCCAGAAACTGTGCTCCCAGTGCAACCAAAGGGCCTTCCTCGGCTCTGGCAGGCAGTGGTACAGCAGGAGCTGTCAGGAATATGGAGTGTGGCAGGCACACAACAGCTACCCCAGTTCCCACAGGGACGAGCACCCACCTGTTTCGTAAGCAGCTCCATGCAGATGGCACCACCACCCAAAACATACCTGGGAAGGAATCAGACAAAGTTACTGCACAGATAGACGCGATCGTACCCGCCCACTGCTCCAGAGGTGAAACATCTTCTCTGATTAGGTTTCTCATGGCAAAAACATGCTAAAAACCTCACACCATCACTGTCTGCTTCCCAATGGCAAATCCATGTCAAGGAAGTCACAGGATTGTACAGCACTGGATAAACCCAGTGAAAACTGCTGCAGAAAGCAGCAATGCAGAGCAGAGAGACACAGATAATTACTCACCCCCCTGACAGCACCGGGGATACAACCCTTACAAACGGTGGATCAAAAGGAAAGTTATCCTGGAATGAGAGAAGCGAAGCAGAGTCACTGAGAAAGGTGTTCTCTGATGCCTCACAGAGCCAGGTGTCTCTCTAGGAGGGGGAGCCTTACTTTAAAAGAAAAGTTGAGGAGGATGAAATCTGTTCCTTCTTTCTCTTTGAGGATTTGGAGATCGTTGTGCAAAGCGCTGTCCTCGTCAACCCTGTGACAGGAAAACCCCGCGAGGGTCAGTCAAGGCCTTGCAGCTCAGCTCAGCCGTGCTCGCTGGCACCACACCCCGAGCTGCCATACCTGCACAGCCGGGCAGTCACATGGGCCCTCAGGCTGACAGCACGGGCTGCCAGCATTCTGCCTCCGGTTTGCAGAGACGACCATCACACCCCTTTTCCATGCTGCCAGATTAAAAATAAAGGCTGCCTGGCCCAAGGAAAAGGCAGCACTGGTGTCTGGAGGGTGTGAAAGCTCAGGGTTTGCCTGCTGCACCTCTTTCCAGACTCTCGGAACAGCAGAGACTTGCAGAGTCCTCCGATTACCTCATCTTGTCTGGAGATATCATCTCCTTTTTCTCCTGGAGACAGCAAGCCAGCTGCCTGAGAGAGGCTAACTCAAGGACTGCTTGGTGCTCCCCTGCCATGCTCATGTTCCCTCTGCTCGCAGGAACTTTCTGGTCCCATCACCAAAACCCACCACAAATGCATGATCCCAAGCTGGGCCACCTACTTCAGGAGTTTGACGTTCCAATCGTACAGGCTGTCATTCACTAGTTCAACTGCATAGTATCCTGCAATGAGAGCAGAGGGTCAGGGGGGAGAACACAGGTCACTGTGGGGAAGGGGACACTGAGAGGGGGCTGAGCCATCACTCAGATTTCAAATCCCCTGGGCCCTCCAGCACAACTTCACTTGGGCACTGTCCCTCCATGAAAAGCAGCGCCTATCCTCAGGACAGTCCTGAGGGCAGCAGTTTCTTTCTCTGAGTCCCTGGGCTCAGGAAAGGAGCAGGAACACCACCCCCCTCAGAGTCAGATAACTCTCTGACCAACAGCATGCTCCTCATTCCCACCCAGCAGTGGAAGGGAACAGAGAGGGTAAGGTGGTTTTGTTCACTCTTGACAGAGCCACAGCCACCAAACACCAGAGATCCACCCCCTCAGCTGAACAGCACAGCTTCAAGGCCCACTGGGTACCACATAGAATGAGAAGGAATCCTCCTCCATGGAGCTCTTGGCAGCACTCACCGCCCTTGAAACTTGGTGATCGGTAAATATCCCTGAGCTCCTTCATTAGCCGGTCAGTGGCCTGCACAGACCCAGACACTGCACCCTGCAACGAACAGGGAGGGGGAAAGTTGTATTGTTATGCTGCACCCAACCATGGCTATTGCTCTATGAGGTCAACACCTGAGCTACAACTCAGTCCAGCCTCTATACCAGACCATATCCTATCCATCACCTCTCAGTCTGTCCCTTGCCCCAAGTATGTCACCTCAGGCAGCACAGCTGCAGCAGAAACACCTCTGTGTCCTCTCTACTGAGGATCTCTGCCCAGGGGTAAAAAAGCACAACCCACCTCCACAGCCTCAGGTGATCGTGGGGGCCAGCTCCTGAGACAGAAGGGAGCCCCAGATCTTGCTGCAGGAGGACTGGCCTGTGAGGAATCGATGCCCTGGGGGCACCCAATGCCCTCCCTGAGCTGCAGAGGCAGTTCACAAACTTCTCTGCTTCAGCCTCATCAGCCCTAGAGAACTGGTACTGCTGTACCTTTGGCTGGGGACAGCCCCTCTGATTTAGGGCTGGAGGGCTGGCAAGGGCCTCCATCACTCTTGCCCTTGAGTCCCTCTGCTTCCCCAGCCCACCTGCCCACTGGGTGACACGTACATTTAAGTAATCTTGCCTCTGGTTCTTTTTTATTTTCTCTAAAATGGCCAGGTTTTCTTTCCCAATGCCTTCATCCTCTGTCTTTCTCCCATCTGCTGGCTCTTCCTCTTTCATCTCATAGTGGTCCAAGTCCTCAGTGTCCTGGGAAGAGAAGAGGAAAGCTCAAAGAGATGTGCTTTTGCTCCTCCCTGCTCTGAGTACTGAGCTGCCCTGACCCAGGAAGGATTCCTAGTGCAACTCTTTCATCCCAGGAAGCCCCAGCTCCTGATCTGAGGTACAAATAGAATGGAAGACACAAGGACTGGGCATTCAATTGGGCTCATGCGAGCTCTTTGTTTGCTGGATTCTCCCCTGCCATGTCTCATGCCTGTTTATATAACGAGCCATTAATCTCTCACTCCTCAACAAGCCCCATGTCACTGAGTGACCCTGGATCTTGGCACACCCATGGCTTCAGCAGCTTGTGCCACACTGCTGGATGGCACAGCCCTTTGGTGCAGTGCTGCCAGGCCACCCGGGCCCCTTCACTAGCCAAACCCCAACAGGGACACAGGTCACTAGCACCACAAGAAGAACAGACCCTTGCACCCAAACCCAGCTGCATGGGATGTTACTCTCTCAACAAGAGTGGGTATTTCACAGCATGTCTCTCTGTAGATCAGCTCAGCACACCCCAAGTGTAGGACCTGACCCCACAAGAGCCTTTGCCCCTCACTATTTCCCACAATAACACAGGGCAATGCAAGACCCTGATGGGGAAAAAACATTTGCAGCCGTTTGGACCCACTACAGAAATCTCTCCCCATGCACACAGGGTTCAGCTGCCTGGAAATGGCTGTGGGTATGCACAGCTCCAGCACTGGCACTAAATCCTCTGAACAAGCGTTTACTGTGGCCTCTCTGGGCTGGTTGTGGCTATTGAGCAGCATTTTTGGAAGGGCTTTGACATTTTTAGACTCACACGGGAAAATAGATCCTCCTAGAAAATCCCTCGAGTAGATTAACCTGCATAATGAATCTCTGTGCCAGGGCACAGTTCTGCTGCTCCACTCCTCCACACAGCTGAACAAATCCCACCACTCAGCACAAAACCTTTGCTCTACATGAGAGCACTCTCCCTCCACGACGCATGGCGCTAAAAAAAAGCAAAAGGGGGAATGCTCAGCTCCTGGGGATTTATTTTCCAGCCCACAGGAGTGGAGGCCTTGCACACACTGATTTGCCATGAAGCAGCAGATTTACAGATTCACAAGGTTACGCTGGTGTCAGTTTAGCCCTCCCTCTTTTCCCCATGGACCCTGGCAAAGCCCAGCCTTAATTTAGCAAGCAATTAACTTTGCTAACCCCCCTCCCAAGTGCTGGGGTGCTGCTGCTCAGTGACCTGCCCCCCAGGCTCCGAGGCACTGCTGACTCAGTGCCCATGCTTCTCGTGTGTGAGGCACTGCTAAACGTCACCATGGAGATTCAAGATTATTCCACCCACTTCCACAGATCTCTAAACTGCAAACCAAACAACCAGAACCTGTGGGTTCTGCAGCAAGGTGCCCTCAGCCTGCAGTGAAGTGTGGCTGCCTCCACCACTCCTGGCAATTAGCTCACTTGCACTCAACCACCTGACCTCATCCTCTCTGTGGGAGTCCCGTGCAACAGTGACTTCCCTGCCAGCAACAGCAACCCATAAATCCATCTCTCTTGCAGAAATTTCAGGCTTTAGAGAACAGCACATACTGTCCAAGCAGCTCTGCTCCAGGTCATCCACGTGCCTTTGGAGGCCATGGCTACACTGCTCAGGCTCTGTGCTCTCCTGGGGTTTGTGAATATGTGGCACCCAGCTGTACCTCAGAATTCTGAGCATCAAAATGCCTTTGATCCAAACTTCCCTGTCTGGAGGCCGCAAGCTTTTCCCAGGCAAAACCCTCACAACCTTTCAGCACCTTTCTCCCTGCACTCAGCTCTCTGGCATATATCCTCACACACTGTGGTGGCACTTACCTCTGGCATCTCTTCATCTTCCTCTTCAGAGGACACCTCTTCCTGGGTGCTCTGTGGAGAGAGGATAGGGATAGAGACTGTGTGGTCAGCATCCTGGTAAAATGCTCTCCTTCCTTCCCAGATGCTTCCAAGACGAGGTCAAACAGGGATATACAAGCAGAACCAATTTAAAAGCAGAGAGTAGCAAGAGCCTTTACAGAAAACAGTACCAAGGCCCAGTGGAGCAGGCTGGCATCACCTAGGACAGAAATCCAACCCCTCACCCACTGTGTTCCTCCTCTGGTACCCCCTAGAAGCCTCCAAAGCAAACATCAGGGAATTTGTTTTCTGAGCTTTGGAAGCCTTTCCTTGAGCCACTCACCTGTTCTGCTGGCAGAGGCTGGTCCAGCATTTCAACATCTGGATGTTGGGGGAGGTTGTAGAGTTTGCACAGGTCAGAGATTATTCGCTTCAGGTGCTGCAAAAGCTGTCCAGAGAACAGAGGGTCAGGGAAGTGTAAGGACCTCTGTGCCATGCTGAGCCTCAGGCCCCAGGGCTGCTCCAAGCAGCAGCAGACACGGGTGCAAAATCCCACCCCAGCATCAAACAATGTCAGAGAAGCTCATCCCAAATATCTGGAACATTTATGCGACCAGAGGCAATCCCCACTTCAGGCAGCTGTGGACATGCTAGCAGGGAGTTACCCCCACAAAGCTGCCAGCTCCCCCCTCTCCCAGGCAGCAGAACGTATCTCACCAATGTATTTCCTTTCCTGACTTCCACCAGCCTCTCCAGGATAGCTGCCAGGTTGGGATCATCTGACTCCACAGACCATATTGGGGGAACAGCTGGATAAGACTCCTAGAGAGAGGGAGAAGGTGGCTGTTGGTGGGATGGAGGCTGCTGTGGTGTACAGAGCAGCAAGCCAGACAGCGTAGAGGCTGAAGCCCTGCATCTTCTGCACACAGATCCCTCTGGACTACAGAGATCCGGCCCCAAGTGACTGATCCACCCTCCAGCATAAACCTGGGGCTGAGGCCAATACAAACTCCTACCCTGACCATGTTGGGCTGGCTCTGTGCTGTGTCCCCCTGGCCCAGGGTTGAACATGAAGGGAAGATAGTGGCATTTTGGCCACCTCTCTGGCCATGGGGCCATCAGGAGTGGGAGGCAGTTAGAGGCAGGACACTGAGGGTGTCCGACATTACCCATGGGCTGCTACCCTCACAGCTCCTGCACCAGGAGTTGCAGGAGAAGCACCTACACAGGGCAGAGGCCAAGCAGGCACCTTTAATCCAGGACAAAGCCTCCAGCAACACTCTCAATATGCCCCTCCAGAAAACCCTGGTCATTAGTCCCTTTCAGAATCTGCACCAGGGGTTATTCAAGTTCTGCTGGCCCTCCCTGCCTGGAGACACACACCAGTTGTAACTTGTGATCAAAGAGGGCATCAGCACACCAGTGCCAAGCCATCCAGCACCAGGATCCCTAAAACCCCAGTGCGAATGAGCCAGAGCAGAGAGGAAGAGCCAACGCTGCTGCCGCAGGTGCCTCTGCCCCAGGCAGATCAGGGGCCCCTGGGAAACCCTCCAAAACAAAACTGGGGGAAGCAGGGAAAACGGGGGCAGTCTCGTACTCAGGGTGCTCTGAGGGGCTCCATGACTGGGGACGAGCTGCTGGACAGGACTGGGGGTTCCAAAACAGCACAGGGAATGGCTAGTTCTCGTACATTGGCATGGCGGGAGTGCTGCCGGGCACTGCCCTCTGGTTTTTCTCTGCGTGAGCCGCTGCCCCAAGGAGCTCGGGGTGTTTTGTACGGCGCTCCCGCAGGCCCCACGGAGGAGGGGGCCGGGGGCGGCCAGCCCCGCGCCCCGTAGCCGCCGCCAGGGACGTTGGGGCCCAGGCCCAGCTCACTGTGAGCCCCAACGGCGGCAGCCCCGTACGCGCGAAGGAGGGGCCATTCGGTCCCGGGGCCGCCTTGCGGTGCCCCCGCAGAGCCTGGGCCCGCCGCACCCCCTGGGCCTCACCGTGATGTTGCAGTGAATACGGACGGGTCCCGGCGGCGGCCCCCGGGAGGCGGAGGCGCCGGCGCGGGCCCCGGCCCCCGGGACGAACTCGCAGCTGATCTCGTCCGGGCAGGCGCTGCCGATGCGGAACCGCTCGTGACCGCGGTGAAAGATGGACTCGAGCAGCCGCAGCTCCCGCCTCAGGAGCCGCCCGGCGGGGGCCGCCGCCACCTCGGTCCCGCTCCGCCCGGGCCCCCCCGCCGCCGCCTGCGCCCTCGCCGCCTCCTCCGGCCCCGCCCGCTGCATCTTCCCATGGAGGGACCCGCTCCCGGAAGTGCCGTCGCCGGAATGGGCGGGACCGCCCCGCCGAAAGCGTCTCGCGACATCCCGGAAGTGACGCTCAGTAAGCCCGGGGGAAGCAGGGCGGGACCAGCGAGGGGGGCAGCGGGGGGTGCCCGCCCCGGCCCCGGAGGGGTCACGTGGGGTCACGGGGGGGCACCGGGCACGGCTGGAGCCCGGCGGGGACGAGGCTCCCTAAGGCCCAGCAGTCCTGGCTCTGAGACCCCCCTGCTGCTGTACGGCGGAGCCGCGGTAGCTCCGGGTTCCACCCGCGAACTCTGCCACCGCTCCGCCCTACCGCTCTGATCCCCGCCCGGGGCTCCACCGCCCCTCTGGCACCGTGCAGGGACCTAGGTGGAGCGGCGAGCTCGGGGAGCTCAGACCCCTCCGCCGTGTCCCCAGGCCGCGGCGGGGCGGGGGCGGGGGCGGCCCCGGGGCCGCTGACGGCGACGGTGACGGCGACGGAGCCGGAGCACGGGGCGGCCCCGGCGCAGCGCCCGGCACCGCCTCCCGCCCGGGGCCGCCCCGCCTGGGCCGCCGCCGGCTCCAGCACCTCGGACAGCGCCCGGCCAGAACCACGGACAGCGCCGGGTACCGGTGGCGGCACCGGGCCGCCCCCATGGCGCTGCTCCGCGTTCTCTGCCTTCTCGCTGCCCTCAGACGTAAGTGTCAGGGGCTGTGGGGGATGGCGCCGGCACAGGCGGGGAGGGGACCGGACCGGACCGGACCGGGCCGGGCCGGGCCGGGCCGGGCCGGGCCCAGGGACTGCGCCTGTTGCACGGGACAGATCCGGAGTGGAGCCGGTACCGGCCCCTCTGAGGTGCCGGTGGCACTGGCGTTTCCGGCGCTCCTCGACCCCCCCGGGGCTATGCGGCCGCCGTGAGCTCCGGCTCCCCGAGGTGGTGCCAGGAGTGGGCAGGGATCGACAGGAACAGGGAATGGGGTGTCATGAACGGGCAGGGAATCGCGGGGAGTGGCAGGGGAGGGCAGAGAGAAACCCCCAGTCCTGTCTAGCTGCTCGTCCCCAGTCATGGAGCCCCTCAGACCGCCCATTCTCCCCCTGGCCCTCCCTGCTCCCCTGCCCGGCTATGACACCCACACCCCATCACCATGCACCCCGTCATTCCTGCTCTCGGGCTGCCCGGCACAGAGCCCCAGGCCGGGTACAGGCTCTATCCCGGGGGGGTCCCGGAGCCTCTTGGGGGGCCTTGCCCACTACCGTGGGACTCAAGCTCCGCCATGCCCCAGGGAGCCTGGGCACAGACACGGAGGAGCGACTGGTTGAGTATCTGCTGGACCCTGCACGCTATAACAAGCTGATCCGGCCGGCAACCAATGGCTCTGAGCTGGTGACCGTGCAGCTGATGGTGTCTCTGGCGCAGCTCATCAGCGTGGTGAGTTGGCCAGGACTCTACTCCCCAACCTACCGGGCAAGGAAGGGGGCCCCAAAGCCTCCTACCACCTGGAGTGACTGGGCCCTCTCTCTCTGCAGCATGAGCGGGAGCAGATCATGACCACGAACGTCTGGCTTACCCAGGTGGGCACCCTGGACTCTGACGTGGCCCTGAAACCCCTGTGTCCACATCAGGCCTCCCCAGCCTCTGCCTTGAGACCCATCCCTATCATAGGGACCCCCCATATACCCTGTGTGGGACTCTAATGTCTACTCTGTCTGGTCATAGCCCTCCATAAAGCCTTTGTAGGACCCCTGTGTCCCCCTGTCCTGACCCATCCCCTTACCCCAGGCCCCCATCCTGTGGCTGGGCTGGGCTGATCCCACCTGTCCTCAGGAGTGGGAGGACTATCGCCTCACATGGAAGCCTGAGGACTTTGACAACATGAAGAAGGTCCGCCTGCCCTCCAAGCACATCTGGCTGCCTGATGTGGTGCTCTACAACAAGTAGGTCATTTTTTGAGGGGGGGCTATGTGTTCCCCTACCCCACCCAGCACAGGAGGCCATGTCATTGGGCTGCTGGGGCTGACAACACCAGGACTGACACCACCTCTCTTCACCCCAGCGCTGATGGGATGTACGAGGTCTCCTTTTACTCCAATGCGGTGATCTCCTATGATGGCAGCATCTTCTGGCTGCCGCCTGCCATCTATAAGAGCGCATGCAAGATCGAGGTGAAGCACTTCCCCTTTGACCAGCAGAACTGCACCATGAAGTTCCGTTCCTGGACCTATGACCGCACCGAGATCGACCTGGTGCTGAAGAGCGAGGTGGCCAGCCTGGATGACTTCACACCCAGTGGCGAGTGGGACATTGTGGCACTGCCAGGGCGGCGCAACGAGAACCCTGATGACTCCACCTATGTGGACATCACGTACGACTTCATTATTCGGCGTAAGCCGCTCTTCTACACCATCAACCTCATCATCCCCTGCATCCTCATTACATCCCTGGCAATCCTTGTGTTTTACCTCCCGTCTGACTGTGGCGAGAAGATGACACTCTGCATCTCTGTCTTGCTCGCCCTCACCGTCTTTCTCCTGCTCATCTCCAAGATCGTGCCACCCACCTCACTGGACGTACCACTGGTGGGCAAATACCTTATGTTCACCATGGTGCTGGTGACCTTCTCCATTGTCACCAGCGTCTGTGTCCTCAACGTGCACCACCGCTCGCCCACCACGCACACTATGCCCCCCTGGGTCCGCACCCTCTTCCTCCACAAGCTCCCAGCGCTGCTCTTCATGAAGCAGCCGCGGCAGAGCTGCGCACGCCAGCGCCTGCGCCAGCGCCGGCACACCCAGGAACGTGCTGCTGCCACCACTCTCTTCGTCCAGGCTGGTGCTCGCACCTGCACCTGCTATGCCAACCCTGGTGCTGCCAAGGCTGAGGGGCTCAATGGCTATCGGGAGCGACAGGGGCAGGCAGCAGCCCCTGCAGCTGGCTGCAGCTGCGGGCTGGAGGAGGCGGTGGATGGCGTGCGCTTCATTGCTGACCACATGCGCAGTGAGGATGACGACCAGAGCGTAAGTTAGGGTGGGCAGTGTGCAGCTGGGAGTGGGCAGTACTCAGGGGTGGCCAGAGCTCTGGGGTGCAGAGTATGTCCTGGCTCATGTCTGCACCACAGGAAGTGATGTGCACAAACACCAAGGGGGTCCCTGCCTAGCCCCATGTCCAGTGAGGTCTTGCAGCTTCTGCCTGGGTAGGGAGTCCAGCACTGATTCCTGACCGATCGTCACAGTCCCAGGCTGAAGCAGCTGCTCTGGAAACCCAGGAAGCTCCCAGGAGGCCTGGCCCTGCACAGCATTGTCAGGCTGCAGATTTTGCAGAGCCCTCCCCACCCCCCGCCCAGCTCTGCTCACTGGGGAAATGTTTCCTGGGCTCAGCGGTGCGGGTGACAGCAGGGAGAGTGAGCCCCGTGAGGCCCACAGCAGGCTGGCAGGCAGCCCCAGGAGCCACAGTGCTGAGGGAGCAGATTCGAGGCTCTGAGGATATGCCAAATTCCCAATCGGGGCAGTGTCAGGTAATACCTAAGGCCCCAGCCCTGACCCAGCATTTTTCCTGGCCCCATGCAGGTGAGCGAGGACTGGAAGTACGTGGCCATGGTCATCGACCGCCTCTTCCTGTGGATCTTTGTCTTCGTCTGTGTCTTTGGCACCATTGGCATGTTCCTGCAGCCCCTCTTCCAGAACTACACCACCAACTCCCTGCTGCAGCTTGGCCAGGGCACCCCCACCTCCAAATAGCATGGGGAATGGCTGGTCTCAGGGCCAGAGAGCTGGGTACTGGGCTCAGGCAGCCCCTGCAAACCAATAAATACTCACAACAGGACCGGGCTAGTTCCATCTGGTGTCGTTTCATCCTACACTATGCTCTGCGGGCCTGAGAGAGCAGGATGCAGCCAGGGCTGGGGGGCCTCTGGCTCCCTGTGACCAAGGTAAGAGGCTAGGAAGGCACCATCTCTGTAAAAATAAAATCTCAGCTGGTGTGGGAGAGAGCATGGGAGCATGAAACCTGATTCACGGGGACGAACCCAGCTCTATCCTCTGCTCCTGGGAGCACCAGGCACTCACTGCATCTCAGGCCATGTGGGGCCAGAGCCCCAGCCTCAGTGAGCAGCCCCTGGCTCCAGCCTGGTGCTGCCAACCCCTGGGCCAGCTCTGGGGCTCCCAGAAGATGACAGATCTGGAGCGGAGGCATGGGGAGGAGGACAGAGTTCTTCAGCTCTGGCTCCGAGGCGAACACATGGACCAAGCAGAAGGAGGCTATTTTTAGGTCCTACCTCCAGGCAGGGCCAGGGCAGCAAGTGCCAGAGGCTGCTCCAGCTCCATCGTCTTCTGTTCCACTCCAGGCTCAGTGTGCTGGAGCCAAGAGCAGCCATAAGATGGGTTGCACAAGGAAAAGGAAAACACAATTAATCAACCCAAGCTGGGAGCTGCTGGCAACCGGGCCACAGCGTGGGTCACTGGGCTGACAGCCACGGCCAGGAGCATTTCCTGCACTCCCTTGGCCAACAGGAATTGGCCTCATTGGGGAAAATTGAAATGGAGAGTTTGCTATAAATACCACTAATCCCCGGGGCTGGGGGGAGTGGTGTTGGCAGGGCCTGGCAACACACAGGGCCAGGGGAAGCCGCACGCTAGAAATTAATTTAAATCCCAGCACTTCACCCAGCCAGAGAAATCCCAGCTGCTGCAGCTGCTGCTCCTGGAGCTCCTACTCTCAGGGGTGCACCCCAGTACCCAAATGTTAAGAGCTTTGCTCCTAAAGCAGCCCCAGGGCAGGGGTTTGTCCCAGTTCATCCCACCTCTGTGTCTCCTCTGCTGTTGGTCCAACCTTGAGTGGAGGATGGGGGGTCATGCTGCACCCCGGTGGGGAGTGGAGATCTATGAGTACTGGGAGGCTGTGGGAAGTACAACAGGAGCCCCCATAGCCTCAGGCACAGCTGCTGACCAAGGATTCCCCCAGCCCTGCTCTGGGCTGGGTGCCAAGGCAGTTCCTACCCCTCACAGC